CATATGCCGATACCGATTTGGTTTAAAATACAACCTGACCTTTTACAGAGGTACTTCTGACCTTAGCTCACTCGACCTGATGCAAATTTTTCAATATTTCTTCCTGAAATTTCCAGAATTTAGTACAATAACCAAGCGTGTTTTTGCTACTATATTTTTAAAGCTAATAACACTTTTATTGTAGCTAACTATGGTTTCACAACTTGTAAGATGTTATTTCGGTCGTGTGAATTGAATACTAACTAGTTAATTTACGGAAAATAAGCGTAACTAAGAGTCCATGGGCTCCTGGCGTTACCTAGGGTCTTTCTCTCCAACAACGAACTGTTTGCTCTTGTTAAACCTAATTCTTATCACACAATTGCCTTTAAACCGCATTTCCTTTAAACACTATTTTTCAATTTAAATTTCTTTGACTGTTACCACGCCAATTACCTTTACACCGCAAATCTCTTAGTACCATTTTTTAACTTAAATGTGTTTCAATAGAATTGTACCGTGTGTGTTTTGTGTTGCTCGTGTTGGTTTATTTTGGCCAGGTACCCGACGAGCAACAGTTAAAATTTAATATGAAAAAGATTTTGATAACGTTTACACAATGATCTATGATGCCAGGCAAAATGTGATTTGAAATTTTTATATAATCTCTTGCTTTGGTACATATAGTGAACCAAAGCAAAGCACCTGAAGTAAGATAGAACCAGATATGTAACGACACTTTTTAAAAATATGTTTCGACAGTTCTTCTGTCATCTTCAGATCTGAATAATACAAAGCACAAAGTTGAATGCTGCTTGGACTAAACAAACAATAATATCAGAACAATGTATGCATTTACAAATAAAGTTTTAAATTAACATGATAAAGTTGGTCATTAAGTGTAGGTTTCTCCCATTTAATGTGGATAGCTTCTTTGATTTAAAGTTAAAAAGTTGTGGAAGCGTGATCTAAGATGTTAAAACACTTATCAGAACAAAGAGTGCGATATTGTGGAGAATTATGAAGATGTCTGAAAATGTAAGAGGTAATTTAGTGTTAACAACTGAGCTGAAAACGTAAATTTTGTCACCGTAAAGAGTAAAAGGCTGACGTTTCGAGCGTTAGCCCTTCGTCTATCTCTCTGACGAAGGGCTAACGCTCGAAACTTCAGCCTTTTTACTCTTTATGGTGGCCAATTTACATTTTCAATTCAGTTATTAACACTAAATTACCTGTTATACTCTCCCACCGACGCAGCACCACAGTTTCTTTAGAAACTTACCCCCTTTATGAAAATGTGAGAGGCTGTTACAGACTTAAAATGCGACTTTGTACTTTGTATTATTCAGAACTGAAGATGACAGATGAACTGTCGAAACACGTTTTTAAAAAGTGTCGTTCAGTAAGGAACGGCACCATAACTGTCGATACACTTAATATCCCACATATACACCACAGACCTATGCAATTTGGTGACCATACCGCTGACAAGGAGATTATCAGAAGAATGGCGGCCCCGGTTGGTGTTATGGGTTGCCTCAGATTAGCTTCAAAATCGCGTCAGATTTTTATTTTCTCACGGAATTTTGCATCAAGAAGGAGGAGAAGAGAGCCAAAAGTAAATCTCAAGCGTTATGATAATGTTTACGCCATTAGTTATCGAGAACCACCCAAACAGATATTTACCGAAGCAATGGGTGCACTTCGTGCGTACAACATTTCATTGGATGGAATCACCGATCAAATTGTGGAGTTGTATGTCAGGGTTGACATGGGAGAAAAAACGGCAAGTGTCTTTTAAGATGTGTTTCTATTTCATGTAACAGTTATAAAAAAAAAACGAAAGGAAATAAATCCTATTCCATGTGCGCCCATGGAATAATTGTGTAAGATTGGCTTTGTAGTACTGCTGAACAAAGACGTAGCTAGCATACGTATGATGAAAGTGAGAACCTTGTTTCCTTTTTTTTTCAGAAACAAAAGATTAATCCTTTTCACGGTCTTATGCTGCTTCCCAAACCATATGGAGTCGAAAGAAAGGTTCTTGTTTTTGCTAGGGTAAGAATCTATTTTAGAAGGGTGAAGTAGAGTTACACTAGCTACAGCTTCAAGAGTTGCTGATCAATGGAAAAGAACATAGGGACATACTTGGATCAAAGAAATGTCCTATCCACCTAGGATTAGGGAGACCTTTAAACCTTTAAGTCACTAATTCTTCAGTCTCACCAACCTGACAAACAGAAAAATGATCCATGTTCTTTAAAATGTTGTTTTATTTCTCATAACAGTTAACCTTTAACTCCCATGAGTGACCAAGACAGAGTTTCTCCTTACAATATTAAGTAGACAAGAAATGGGAATAAAGAAAATTATCAATTAGGAGATTCTGGATCCAAATACTAAATATTCTGTGCTAAAATTATAAGAATCATGTGAGAGACGGTAAGGAGAATCTTGAGAGTGAAAAAGTCAAACATAGTTCTTGAAATTTTAACTTTAAAAAATGCTGCTAGTTCTCTAACTTCAAATGTCTGATTTTTCTTTACTAACTGAATACACTTTTCCTTGTAAATTAGTTGTGAAAGAGAATGTAGCATTAGATCAAGATAACCGACTTCCACCTACAGTCGAACCTCGATTATCCGGACATTGATTATCCGGACTTTTCGATTATCCAGACTTTTTCTCTGGTCCTGTTTTTTTCATGAATATTAATGACCTTAGATGTTAAAAACTTTAAGAGGTAAAAAAATTCAGAAATTATGTTAAAAGTCAGGAAAAAGATCAATGCGTTCAGCTGAATTTTGATTGGTTCAGCATTGTTTTGTTGCTAAGGGAATGTCATGCTTGATCAGTTCGATGAGCGTGGGTTATGTAAACACACGAGACGATCATAACCCAATTGTCTTATTAATATTCATATTTTCGATTATCCGGACTCTCAATTATCCGGACTATTTACCCTAGTCCCACGGAGTCCGTATAATCGAGGTTCGACTGTAATAAGTTTAAGTACTCTGATTAATTCCTTAATTCCCATGAGTGACCAAGACAGAATTTCTCCTTACAATATCAATACAATATCAAGCAGACAAGTGATGAGAATATAGGAAAATATCAATTAGGAGATTATAAGTTGATCCAGTAACAAATTCTCCAAACTAACATCATAAGAATTGTATAGCAGACAGTAAGGAGAAACAGTGATGAGATCTTGGGAGTTAAAGGGTTAACTGTTTGCTATCGTCATTAATTGTTTGCTATTGTCATTAACTGTTTGTTAGATGACAGATGGATATTTTAGGGAGAAGTGACATGTTCATCACTTCTGGGAGTTTAAGTGTTAGTGGGAGCCAATACTCACATTTCTTGACACGCCTATAAAGCTGATTACATTACACTGTTGTTAACTGTGCCGGTGTTTTTGTGTCTCAGGGAGAAGCTGCTGAGGCTGCGAGAAGAGCTGGTGGAAATTTTGTCGGTGAAGAGGAGCTTATTCAACAGGTAATGCATCGGTGATGAAGGAAATATATTTGTTTACTCTCCTAATGGATTCTTCTAAAAGATGAAGTCCCTCTCAAAATGGACAATTCGACTTGGTTGTAGTGGTTCCTGTTCCTTGTTCCAAACTTCCTGTGCATTTTGTAGCCAAACAAACCGCAGGTTTCCACTCCATTTACTCCCAAGCTCAATTTAAAAAATCAATTTAATGTCTTCAAGTAAATAGCAAACATAGTGCTTTCCATCAGTTTTAACCTTTCATGAGAATGTGAGAAATGAGAATAAAGGAAATGATCACCAATTTAAGAGGCCCCTGATCATCAAACAAATTCTCCTCATCAGTACTACAGGAAATTTTAAGAGAATGTAAGGGGTTAGTAGACAGAAAAGCCATCAAGTTTCACTTTTAGTTGTAATTTGTTTTGTTTTGTTTTGCTCTGTTTTACTGAAGGTTGCTGATGGAGAGGTGACAGACTTTGATCAATGTTTATGCACACTGGAATTTTTGAACAAAATGAAACCCTTGCAAAAAATTCTTAGAGAGAAGATGCCAACTACTCGCAGAGGTATGGAAACCAGCCCCAAAAATGCATGCGCAGATGTAAATGTACTTCTAGGCAATTATGTTTATAATGCAAAACTTATATCACTTGAAAGCTTTTGAAAGATATTCAGGGGAATTTCTTGCAAATACATGATCATCCACATTGTACAGACTGTTCACTATTGCTGAGAAGGAACATTGTCATGTACTGCAGTTTGAGCATTTCCTTCTTCACTGCAATAACTAAAATCACTGATCACGTGTGAGGATCATTGCTTTGTTAGGTTTTCATCACCAGGTCAAATAATAATTAATAATAATTTAATACTTATATAGAACAATAGACATATTGATGTGATCTAATGCACTTTAAAACAACTGAAATAAGGCAAGTAATCCTAACAATTAAAAACTAAGCATAAATTTGTATCTGCAAATCTCGCCATCATGGAAATTACTATCAAAACAATCTAATCTAATACTTGCCATTTAAAACTTAAAAAACAAAAATATTGATTTTAAAACTATGAATGATATGATATGGTAAAATGAGGAAATCGTAGATTTATGCTTTATTTCAATAATCATTACTCTTTAATGAAACATTTTGAAATACTTAGTTACTGATATGTTCTGCTAAATAATAAAGTCTTAATGTCTTTCTTGAATTTTAGAATTCAATGAATTGATTTGTGACAAGTTGTTATCAAATTCCTCGTTGAGAAAAAAGAACCCTCTAAAATTTTCCCAACTCCAACATGTGGGTTTGTAGCTCAATTGTTAGTAGTGCCAGCTAATTAAAGCCTGATTTTTTTTCAAGCTTTTTCACTTCAACTGCTACAATTGCAGCTCGCCTACGAGGAGTATTTCTTTGATTGATTTTCATCCACAGGTCAACGTAAATTTATTTCTGTTCAAGCTGCTCTGAAATTCCACTGGAAGTTATTCTTAGACTTGTTTTCACTGACGTTATATAGTTTGATTTTAGGCACTGCATCTGATAACATTGCGGCTGCAATCGATGCGTACAAAAAGGGTCATCCGTACAGGTGTGACAGAGAGGGAATCGTCAATATTGGAGTGGGAAAGGTAACTAATAATTGCTGTCAGGAAATGAAACATCGATTACGACACGACTTGTTTTTGTTTTTGTTTTTTTTAATGTTAACAAACTTCTTTGCAGCTCAGCTTTACAGACTCAGAAGTCAGGGTCAATGCATCAGCAGTGTTATCTACACTTGCCACTCACGGAACTGTTACCAAAGGTAATGTGCTTGTTCTTCATCTCATTTCTTACCCTCTCGCAGTACTTTGTAACGTTATGGCCTCGAACCCAAACGTCTCTAGTTCGCCTTGACCTAACTCGAGACAATTTTCGTTTTATCAACTGAGTTGATTTTGTTAGCCGACGTTTCATCAGCCCTTCGTCATTCTCAGGCTCTGACGAATTACATTATAACTCAGTTGTGGCCCTTACACTATTGACGTTGAATGTCACAAAGTAACACCTTAGTTATCACAACAGCCTATCAGATCAAAGAAAAGCATTAAAAGAGCCAGTGATAAGTCAAATCAGAAAGTGGCGGGGAAATAAGCGCAGGAAAACACGTGCGACCAAGTGGCGATTGATTGCTAAGATTGGCCTGGCGATGACCTAAATTTTCTTGGCCAATCACAGAGCTTCGTAAGAGAAAACCAATTCAACCCCAGATGACTGTCGACACTCTACACTGCTGTACTTACACTTATTTTTTTTTTCTTAAATTTGCAGGTAAATTCTTCAGGGAACTTGTTATTTCATCTGAAAGAGGGCCAAGCTACCCTCTGGAAATCGCTGAGTGGGTCAGCTGATGTACTGATTGACTTGACAGAAAATACCACTACACAGCTTTGTGAACAGTTGTGGCAGAACTGACCAAAGACAGCTCTTCATTGGTCGCATGGTTATGGCGGCAATGTTTCCGGTGGTTGAAAAAGTTCAGCTCCTCTAGCAAGTTGTGTCTCTTTTGGGATTATGTGACTTGCAAAAAAAACTGCAGTGCAGGAGCGCTTTTGTCAGTAAAGTACTTGATTCAAAATGAAAATGACTTTTTCAGATAACTTTCACCCTTTCTCGGAGTGTTATCTTTCCTTTTACGTTCGCGTCTCTTCGCTCTGTGTCCTAATTATAACATTTTTGGGTTCATTTCAATGGTTTTTTCACCTATTTTTTCACTTCTCATTATTTTAAAACTTTCATTCGTTAAAGGGATTAAAATGACGTATTGATCAAAAGGTATAGGTGAAGACTATCGATTGGTGAAATTATGAAATTAACTTATAATTAACTTACACAAGAAAGCGTCGAATTAATAGGGTCTCATTATAATATCACAGTAAATTAATTATTTGAAAATAGTCAGTCGGTTCTAAGCCAGAGAATTCAAAGAAATAAGACACAGAATTAACTTAAAAAAATCCCTACTGATTGACAAATGCAATCTTTGACCAACCGAGGGTGCTTTTCAATATTTGAGTATGTGTATCGTCCGTGGCATATGTAAGAAGGAATAATCCCATTTTGATAACAGAGTGACGAAAGAAATTTTATTTCCAAAATGGCTTTGGTACCCGCCAGGAAAAAATCGAAGCAAGCTAAGATTATAATCTTCAATTGCTTTTGACACCTGCAGAGGAGACAACATGGAAAGAATTAAGGCTTCACAAAATTTGCGCAAGAAAAAAGCGTTTTAGGGCAAGTTGTTCTTCCCCTCGGGCTCCGGAAAACGTGTGGGAGGATTTAAGTTGTATTATCTCTTACGGACTTATCGAATTTTTTTTGTCTAATTTTCATGTTTTGGTCCATCGTGGTAATAAAGCTGTTTCAGTTATTGAGCAGGATACACCTGTGGTCCTGAAAATACCACCTGTTACGTCATCAGGCCAGTAGATATCAGTAGATATCAGCAGGTTGATATCACTGCAAGCTTGTTTTTGTTCATTTAGCGTAACTTTGCCGGCAGTCATGGACAGAACTCTCGTCGTTGCGTTATTTTTTTGTGTTTTGGCTGTTTGCCTTGCAACAAATGATCAAAACTCGGACAAAAATTCTGGTGAGCCAGGCGCTAAACTGTCGATGAAAAAGAGAGGTAAAGAGGACGAAGATGATGCGAAAGTTGAGGTAGTCCAAGATGAGAAAGATGAGTCAGCAAAGGAGAGGAAAGCTTCGGATGGATTGGCAACGGAGAAGAAGGATATTGCCAATGAGAAAGTCCATGGAGGGACAAAGAAGAATGAAGGACACGATGAGACGAAGGACGATGATGAAGACCACGATGATGAAGAACATGATGACGAAGACGACGAAGAAGAAGATGAGGAGCATGAAGAAGAGGAAGAGGTGGATCCAAACGCCAAAATCGAAATTCATGATCTCTTCACTCCAGAGGACTGCAAAAACAAATCCAAATCTGGCGATCTTGTGGTGATTCACTACTCCGGCTGGCTGGATGATGGCAAATTGTTTGACACAACAGTCGAGCCAAGCAAGGCGTACATGCCATTTGAGTTCATGCTAGGAACAGGAACGGTAATCAAGGGCTTTGAACAAGGAGTGTTAAACATGTGCAAAGGACAGAAGCGTAAAATTGTCATTCCACCCTCGCTTGGTTATGGAAAGAAGGGAGCAGGAGCGATTCCAGGTGAGACAGAATTTGTTTATTCCTCGTGCTCCCGAAAAATGTCTCTTTGCATGATTTGTTTTGACTTTTGAACATTTTTTTGTTTATGTAAACTAATTTTCTTGAGACAATCCTGTAATGAGCTTTGCTTAGATAATTCACTCTTATCATTTTCAGCTGGCTGAGGTGCTTTTCACTTTTCATGTGATCATCGAAACACTTTACTACGTTTTAAGTCCAAAATAACAGCAAGCTACATGAATTCGTTGCTCAAATCTGATCCTAAAAATTTTTATCATAGTTTTCACTTTCCAATAAAGATCTTTTATAGGATACCTAAGAACATTTGGTAATGACTGGTTTAAAACTATAAGTCATTTGTCTAATTGTCGACACAAAAAGAGGTTTTTGTTTTACTTTAAAACAAATTATTTATGAAACGAGTTTAAAAACACGAAGCGTCTTTTCACTGGTCAATTATTACCTGTTAAGTAAATGATTAATGGGACGTGTAGACAAAACAGTTAATGCTTTGAACCGTAAAAGGAGAGTGTTTTTTACTATTTTCTTGGTAAATCAGACCTTTTACTGGCCCTGGCTGATATCGAGAGACTGCTACTGAGGATCTAAACTTTTTGAAGTCCACAGCAGAACGGACACAAAATGAATTTCACAGAAGAACAAATAAGCGAAAGAAGATTTGCGAGCTTGTCACATCTTACGCAGAAGAGATCGAACAATTTCGTTTCCAGGCTAAATTTTTTCTAACCTCAGCTTCGTCTTTGTAAAGAGTCGTAGGGACATGGTCTTGAGTCAAAATCATATTTGATATGGCCTTGTTTTGATACAGAGGCTTTACGCAACTTGAAAAAAGGATAAACGATATCAAGTGTCTCGTTTCCAGTTTGTTCTCTTTTCAAAAGGATTACAAGACCTGAGAAAGAGATAAGTCGGCCCACGTGTGGATGACATCATTAGCTAATGGTTCTATTTGCTGATAGTTTTGGCCATAGCTTTGTTGAAAATGTTCAATGACAATTTTCTTTCTTCAGGAAACACCACGCTCACATACGAGCTAGAAATGTTTGATATCCGACAACCTCCTCCCCAAGCAGACATGTTCTCACACATTGACACCAACGGTGACAAGAAGCTGTCCAAGAAAGAGGTGTCCGCGTACATGAAGGCACAAGCTGCTGCACATGGCATGCCGGTACATGACAAGAAATGGAAGAAACACCACAAGACTGTTGTAGCCAACATTTTCGATCACGAGGACTCTGACGAAGACGGCTCCATCTCTCATGACGAGTTCAGTGGGCCTAAAATGATGTACCACGATGAGTTTTAGAGGTGTTCTCTCGGGTTCGCGATTTAGCGTGACACCCTGCGTGACAGTCCACGTGACACAAAATCACGCAATTGATTTTATTCGAAAAAGATAGGAAATCATTTCAATTCAAATTTTACGACCTATTGTGGTCGCCAAAAATTTAATCAAAATATCGTGTTTCATTACTTTTTTGAAATTTTGCTGTTATGGCAACTAAATAACTCAATTTTTAGACGAGATCTTTGGAAAAGCTCGCTATACATTTATAGCTCCGTAAGAGGAATTTTCGAAAAATGCATACCTAAGGAGGTAGATCAAGAAGAAGGCTTCAAACGAATTCAGATATTTTGAGGTAAGGTATGTAAATTAAAAGCGAAATATTGTTTGTACAATAAAGCAAACGTTTTATCCAAGTAGTTATTCTTTTGATGTTTTATAAACGCACCTTATTTTGGGCCCTATGCAGGGACTCGATAACAAGCAGCCCTTGCTTTCCGGAGATGTCCGTCGCGCGAGTAAATAAAATAACAAATGAAAAAGTTTTAGCGCACCGCACGGAACTTTGGGAGTGTGGCGCACGAAAAGTTACTCCCAGGATTCCTCGCGGCTTACACACATCTATTTATTTTCACAGATATTTTTACTCCCGCGACGGACTTCGCCCAAAAGGAGGATCTGTTCGTAGTATTTAAGGAATCTTTATCACAAAAATAACAGTTTTGTATTTGAGCGACTTGCCGAGGTCTGTTCAGAAACAATCTCCTTGAGAAACAAACTTGTCGCCTATGGTGTCTTTCTATTCGACTGTAGAAGAGGCTGTTAAAGCTTATGAAATTTTTCATTGGAAGGTGATTCTTCTTTCCTTGAGCGCTGCCATCAAGGCCATGTCTCAATTGTGTGACGATCCGATAAATCATACTTGAAGCCCGGAAGTCGAACCGCTGGGAGAATCACTAAGAGCCAGGGATGAGAAAAACTTCGCTCCCAGGGTCCCCTTTCTGTATCTTTTCTCGTTCTGAGTCTTCCCTCGTCGTCACACACTTTGCTTTAGAGTGCATGTGAAAATGAATAAATTTGTTAAAAATGAAGCCCAAACATCACTTCAACATTCAATACGAATTTATTTCACCTAGTCATACATTTTACAAACATTTATTGCCACAATTCTGTTAATAACGTTCCGTAACAAGCTGCTACTTCTTGATCTAGATCTGCTTTAATGTTGCATTTGCTAAAAGGAAACTATTTCAATTCCTGTGAGCTCTTTCTTTTTCGCTTCTTGATGATGAATGCCTGATCGAAGACTCTAATTGTCTCACTGCAAAACATGCGAGAAAAGCACACAATTAATAGATCGTCAGCACTATGACAATTGTGATCAGTCCAAAACATTTCTTACATTTTATGAGGTCCTTTCACAGGGGTCAAGTAGAACAAATGCCTTTCACTTCTCTCCCCTCTCCCCTCTCCCCCCCCCTCCCACGCGTTTTTTTGGTTAATCATTATCTTAAAAAGTCCTCTAATAGGGCCGTATGAGATGACACAAGCAGGACCTGACAACGCTATACGGCCTTATGCACAGCCCCGCGAAATGTGGTACCGTGCTACGAAAAAAACGAATAAATTGGTGGCCATCTGAGTAAGGACGGGCTGCACGGAAAAAATATTTGGCTCTTGTTCATGAATACAGACCTTGAGCCCAATATTTACCCGTTCGGCAAAGAGCACAAATTACGGACAAGTTTCCGAAAGTTTTAGAGAAGTTTGCGGCTCGCTAAGTTAACCAATCACGAAGCGTGTCGTAATTAAGAGATAAAAATAGGCAGTTTATTTCGTTTATGTTGAAATTACCGTTAACACCCGTATAGCGCCCGAATCTCTGCGATGTCATTATCGGTCAGAGTTCCTCTGAGTTGCCCTCCAAGTTCCCTCCATATCTGTCGTCTGGCGATGATCGTTGGTTTTTTTCCATCAACTGAAAACAGATACCTGTCATAATGCATTACGGAATCAAAGTCGTACGGCAGATTTAGACTGTCTAGCTTGCCATGGTCATACTTTTCAAAGTTTTTCTCATAACCTGTAGAACAAGGCGAAAATAATAATTAATTAGCGGTAGCTCACCTCTTTTGTTATTAAATTGAATTACAGCCTTAGTTCTTGTTAACTTGTAGGTGAAGTCACTTTTTACTATATGGTCTCTCGCGGAGCCAGCCTCGTTCTTGGGATTTTTCTTCTTTCCGCTTGCTCTTGGGAGCCTGAGAACGAGTTTTTTTTTTAATCGCAAAGACTAAGTCAAGCATATGCACGAAATTATTCACATCACCTTTTTTGATGTTATGCCACAAAACCTCCACATATTTATCTCTGTCCGTTCTACTCTGTTCGTGCCAAATACCTGTCGTGTGAAAACAAAAAAACATGGTTTTCAACTTTTCCTGACATTTCGAGCAGTTGACCTATCGCTGATGTTTAACCACTTAACAGCCTAACTGACTCCAGCCCTAACCCTAAGAATATTCTCCATACTGTTCTCTATACATTTCCTAAGGAGCTGAAAAGGAGAATTTCTTTAACGATCAAGAGCTTCTTGAGTTGGTGATCATTTCTTTTATTCTCCTGACCTTACTGTTTGTTTCAGGGGTGATATCGTGAGGAGAAATTCACTAGCGTGGCTCAAAGGGTTAATTATGCTCATTAATACCCACTAGGGTCCCTACGGTAAAAATTGTACTTACCGAGAGAGTGCATAAGCTCGTGCATGACAACACCCACGTATTCACACCCACTCCCAAGGGAGAGAGGTTGACTTCCACCGACACGACCTACCTTTGACCAGCACCTAATGAGACACATTAGTGTTAGATAACTGGGGAGAGTGACACTGATTATTAAGATCTTAACAGTTCTCCGTAGCTTAATGCTTGTTTATTGGAAAGCGAAACCCGAACTTCTGGAGTTTGATTCTTCGTCAGGGACTCAGATATTTCTTTTGTACCTCACTGATAAAGAAATGAATGGAAACTCTTTCTACTTTTTAACGAAATCACTGATGGAAATTTGAACAAGCTCTCAACTGAATTTCGTTTTTTCCATTCGATAACTCTTATAACTCTAAGAAGTGATTAACATGGAACGTCTCCTTATAATATTCATACCTTATCCAGCCAACAGGTAATGAGAAAATTTAAACTTATCAGCTAATATTTGCAATTAATCTTGTGCTAATACTAGATTATTGAAGCTAGTCTGCAATGAGAATTAGCAATTAGTTCTTGTTAGTTAAAGAGTTAATACTCGAACAGCATTTTCAAAAAATACCCCTTGTAAACTGTTGAACTATATTCCGATACTCAAGTTATGGGTTGCACCACCGTTTTTTCGTATTTTTCAGTTATTGTGAAAATGCAATTTCGTTAAGGACCTCTCCTCCCCCCTGACGATGAAATAATGAGCAGTCCCTTTTTGTTTACGAAAATTCCCTTACCCATTGCCTTTGTGCATCTTGATGTAGTCTCCTCCATAAGACGAACCAACTTCTTTGAATTTTAAACAAGTCTTACTACTGATTTTACTCAGAGCGTCGTTGATTTTGGGTCGTAAATGCTCTGAAAAAAATGAGGAACTCACATTGAATTTTGATTGTACATTTGAACGGCATTGTTGTTGGAAAAAACCAAGATAACTGTAATTCTTGAAGAAGAGAGAAAAAAAGAAAAAAAAACTTACTCAAATTGTCGTCCACAAAATAGTACACAGTTTTTCCCGGCCAAAGCTTTTTCCCGTTGCGAATGATGTTTCTCTTTAAGTCTGTCTCAGGGACCGCGTGATTGACGACCGCCTCGTCTTCAGGATCTAGACACAAGTCCCCCTCGAACAGTGGATCACCACATCCGGGACGATTGTAAGGATCTAAATTGGAATTTTAAGCCGTGTTATAATCCAGTATGGACCAGAAGAAAATTTAACTTCAGTGTTCTAACCTCAACGCAAGAGAGAAAACTGATTGAAGACAAAAACATTAAATGGCTATATAAGAAGTAAATTTGCAACTAATCACAAACCACAAGATCATTGAAGCGCTGATCCAAAAAGCCAAATTCTCGTTTGTGCTAACCTTGATTGGGGTCAATACCTTCCATAACGTAATTCATCAAAAATCACCGAAAGCTACCTTCCGAAACTCCATTGAATGTACAAAAGACTGGGGACCACAGGAAATTTGAATGCTTGTTCGTTTATCTCCTTATAACTCAACAGTTTATTTTTCCATTAGTCAGTAGTCTTACCAAAATATGATAGAAAGGTCTTTTTAAGAAACATAACACTGCCAAGAGTTTGAATAGTCAGCGATTTACCTTCATTTACGGCCACGATTTCCTCTTCAATTGGAATCGCACCCATTCCTCCACGGCGGCTGATTTCGTCATATGCCTCATTTACGCCTACAATGTGCCCGTGTAGATTTCCACCTCGCTCCTCATTTTCTAAAATATGCCAGACAAAAAGCTAAGAAAGTGCGAGTTTACTGAAGGACCATTGATTTTTGAACACGGGGGAGGAGGGGAGGGGAGGGCGTCTGAGAATCACCTGGTTTTCAGGGGAAACGCTAAGGGTTCAGCACTAATGATAAGGCCTGATCCCCGGCAAGCTCCTCCTAGACTTGTCTCAAAACTTCCTCTGGACGGAGGAAAGCACGTCCTTCAGCGTTAATAATGAGGACATGATCGCAAGCTGCGTCTGAGTTGAAGTTCAGGACGAATGCTGTATCCCAACTTAAAGGTTGTGGTAGTACTACCATCTTTCTGAAGCACGTTGTGATCACGATGGAAATTGACAACGTGCTTCCATCGCTGTGGAGGCGGCTACTCGTACAATTCCATTTTACTTTTTTCTATCTTATCGAGCTGGAAAAAAAAATTAAGGCTCTTCCAATTCGAGGGCCCGATCCGTTCCGTAAAAGAAAAGGAAAACAAAATTCAGAAAATGTCCGAGAATACTCTTTTGAAAGTATACGGGTTTTAATACTAGTGGACTCAGTCCCCGTGCTATAAGCTGGCTCTCCGTGTAGAACACCATAGAGCGGACGAGAAGCCAGCCTTGGCGTTATACGATACCATCCCGACCAGGAACTTGCAGACATCTCACGTTTGATTTACCTATAATTTTTTCTTGTAGCAACCAGTCAATGACCTCGTCTCTTTCCCTCTTCCAAGTGTCATCTGTAAAATAAATGAGAGCCAAGCTTTAGACTGGAAAGGAAACCTAAAGGTAGTCTCGTACCCAGACCTTCTACGGCCAAGTGGTTGTTAGTTAGGAACCAGTCAGTTAGGAACCAGTCAGACCCCTTCCCCTCCCCCCCACCCCCCCACAGACGACAAATGATTACCCTGATACGTATTAAGATGAAATTTTTTGGAAAAAAAATCTGTTGTATATTTATGTTCGAAGAGGATTACTTTCCTTTTTTTTTTGGTGTTTTTCTTGAGTTCAAGACAGATTTCTGGCACTCAATAGCGGAAGTCATATTTGTGCTCCAAAGTGCCAAGGCGACGTAACGACGAACGAATTCAAAATATTATGGTTAACTTTGGACATATATACTTTGTATATTAATGAAGGAATGATTTTTCTGGGAATCCTTTGCCAGAGGCCATGGATTGAGGTTTAATTAACATGAAAGTGACGAAATTCAGCCAATTTGCTGGTCTGAGTCATTTACTTGCTTACATATTCATTTGCATGCGACTGCCAATATCTGATCTTCCGTGCTGAATATTTGGGGCAGAAAATACAATGTCCTATATATGAAACACAACAGTTCATTATTCCTTGTTAGGAGTCTTGGCAAAAATGCCAAACTTCCTTTAAAATCAGTGTCCTCGATGAAAAAGAATAAAATGACTTACCAAACGGTCGAGTTTCCACCAAACTCAAGCCCAAACACAAGACATATAACGAGCTAAACTTCATTATCCCCGATTATCAACAAACTGTTATTAGGGCGAGTGGCTCGCTTGCAAATGAGTTCGTCTCGGCGGCTCAATTCATAATTATCTTTGATTACTTTTAACGGTTCAATGATCATGTCACAACTCGTTAGGCAACTGTGTCAATGAAGCCGGAAATATCAACGTCGAGAGCAAAATGACTGATTAAAAATTTATCGAAACGCGCACCTTGGCTTTGACATTAATCTGCTGCATGAACCAATGATAATAATAAAACCTTAGGCTGGCGATATCGTCTTGGCACTCAGCCGATTTTTTGGTTCTCTTCGTACAAACGTTATATTGCAGAAAATTTTAATTTGAATCTTCTCCGTAGGCATATTTAATTATTTCGTGTACATAACAATACAAACACGTGCCAATAATTCGGCCAGTTAACGTCGGTCACGGAATTACAACGTTTTCAATTTTTGAAAAATTCTGCTTTTATCTGATTGGGTAAATTCATAATTTATTAGGCGCCAATTTCAATTTACAGTTATTTTCGCCGAAGATGCGTTTTATCTTGAAAAGTAACCACCGACCACGACGGGCTTCAATCAAACCTATCGATCTCCTAGCCTCAAGGTCTTTCAAGTGCTACTACAATGTAATAGCCTTATTTGTAAACGCTTCCGGCCGTAACTTCTTTGGACGCGCGCTCGCCCCATTCTCCCCGCGTTTGTTCACAACTCGTCTTAAAAACAAAAATATTACGCTGTTCCTCAAGTTTTCCGCTTTCTCGAGTGCGGGTTTGATTCGGAAAGATAGCGTGGGCTCATCTCCCAAATGGAGGTTTGTGATCGAGTCTAAGACAATTGGTCGTTGGCTGAACCGAATCCAGCAAAAAAAATCGGGTAATTTAGTATTATAAAACTGAGTTGTAACGTAAATTAGCCACCGTAAAGAATTTAGAAGCTGACATTTCGAAAGTTAGCCCCTTGTCATCATTCTGACAATATCAAATTATCCTGCTATACTCTCTCATCGACGCAGCACCACAATTTCTTTAGAAAGTTACCCCCCTTGTAAAAAAAAAAAACTGGTTTTGCTACGCTACTTGTCCTGGTAAGATTTTCCTGACTATAGACTTCTCAAGGGCCTGAATAGTGCAAGCAGAAACCGTACGTAACCTTACAGAGTATAGGCTTGAAATTACACATCTAATTTGATTTGATTTATTTCTTTGTGAGGTCGAAACTTCTCTGAAGTTTCATCTTGTGGTCGTGATAACAAAACCCGCCCTTTTCTGTTGGCGCCGTTTTCACCCGCTAAGAGGACGAAGTTTCCTGACACTACCCCCTAAGCTCATCAAAACGCCTTTAGTAATGTTAACTACAAAGAAGAAATTTCCCTAAGGGTAACACATGACCATCTGCCCACAAATACCTCTAAGAGCTTTCTTTTGTTATTCAAAAATGATTTTGAATTCTGTATTTCAATACAGTTACTCTTCATCTATTATTTATACATGAAAAATCCTAGACTTGAAAGCTGTTTTCGATGCGAAGACATTGACTTTTTGGTTTAACACTATAACTTACCAATAGGGCGTGTTTGTACCAAAATCAGCCAGCAGGAACAGAGGACAAAAAGTGATCTGGAAATCATGTTTTAAACTAAGAGCCTTGTCCCAAATAATTTTTCGTCTGTCCTCTCTTAACACTACCAGCCAATTCCCGCAAATGAATTTTGGTATAGCTTTTAGTATTTAAATTCTGTATATTTGGTGAGATGAAGTAACCGCATTCGGTAAAATGATCTTTTAATGAATGAATTGATCCTTTAATGAAGGAAAGAAACTTCACTGAATCCAATTTGTTTGCGCCTGATTGGCTATATAACATAGGTCATTAACCAATTATTACCTCATCTAATTGTGATTAAAAGGCGAGTTTAAACAGCTGTTTTTGGAATGACTTTAATTGCCTCTCATCTGTCTAAGAAATGAAACATCACGGTGGTTAAATGGTGTGTTTATTGAAGAGAAAAAAAGCTACATCATTAATTAATATAATCCGACAGTTTTAAACCTTTACACCCTAACATCAGAATGCAGATTCTCCATACTGTTCACTATACATTTCTTAAGGCGCTATCCAGGCGAATTTGTTAAAACAATCAAGAGCTAAGAAGTTGGTGATCATTTCCTTTATTCTCATGATCGTAATGTGTGATTGCACGGTAATAATGTAAGGAGAAATTAGATATTGGTCTCTCTTACGGGTCAAGGAGTTAATTGGCGAGGTGAACAAAGCAATCATACGCATGGAGAAAACAGAGAGCAGAAATTAAACAGCTTTTCAAAAGGCAAGAGGTGATTACGTGTAGTAAAAGTTGCATTTTTGTTTCCTAGATTCTGTATATAAAATTATAACCTCTTGATTACGATAATTTGGAAAAACACGAAAGGAAACTTGCCTGAATTTTCTTTATTTTAGATCAGTCGACAGTTCAAACCATTTGTATATTAGAACTGTTCACCTCTTGAGAAGGAAATGACACCTCGTTATAGCTTTTTTCCGTTTTACTGTTTTCATTTTAGCATTTCTTTTTTGACAACATAATATTGGATTAAGTGTATTGCACCTAGAAGCGGACGTTCTCCGCGATTAAAAACACTTCTGATATTTTGTGGTGTTTTTTTAAAAAATTTTTTCTTAATTTCACTCGTAGACTTTTGAAGGCAGGTTGTTAAAGTTAGTTATATCTGTTTTGTATTCAATACACGTTTATGTAATTATTTTCGTCTCTGAGGGCGTCTCAATTAACTTCCCTCTGTTTCGTTTGTAATTTTACACAAACTAAACTGACGCTATAAGTCGACTTTCGTCGCATGGTAACAGACAGAAAGTAGCTTTATCAATAAAAGGGGTAAGTTTCTAAAGAAACTGTGGTGCTGCGTCGGTGGGAGAGTATAACAGGTAATTTAGTGTTATCAACTGAGCCGAAAACGTAAATTGGCCACCATAAAGTGTTTAAAGGCTGACGTTTCTAGCGTAAGTCCTTCGTCAGTGATCAGAACACCAGTCATGTGCACTCGAGAAAAAGTCTTGAAATCTCTTTAGGGGCTCCACAACCTTATCCTCACAAGTATTTTTAAAATTTTCTTCTCATGTCAAAAATTGAACCTGGAGAATTTTTGAAAACAAAACTTTGGCGACAAAATAAATGGATAGGTTTAATTTACAGATGAATAAAATAAAAACAATACTGATCATGCATTTCAGAGCGGGTGGTTGCTAAGCGGAGATTTGGTCACAGGAGAATAGGGAACGAAAAAAGGCCTGGGCCCGGTCGTTTGACGGGCGATAACTGATTATTTAAGATTCAAAGTTTAACTTTCCTTTGGCTTAAGTTTTAAAGGGATTTACCTTAGTTTAAGACAAAACCAAAGCTGCAAAGCTACAAAACTAAGTCATAAGTTGTTGACTAAACCTTAGTTATCTTAATTGTCTTTCGGCTCAACTTGGGGAAGCAAGATCTCTTATCACCAGGGATTAACAACAAAGCAACTTTAAAACACATTTGATTTGCAGCTTTTTTTGTCGTAAGAGGTGTATCTGACTAGCTGTTGTGATAAGTTTGGTGAGTTTATGAAGCAAATTGGCAATATAAGCTTGTCATATTAATATATTTTATTCGCTCTAATTATGTAGCAGAAAAAAATATCTCTGTGATATTTATACTGTAATTTTCAAAGTAGCTTGTGTTCCGGTAAAAATTCCACGAACACTACAACCTAACCATCAAGAGCTCAGACATACAATATTCAGATTCCTGGCTGCGCCGCCGAGGAAGTGATAGAATATTCATAAATATCCATTGCAGACCAACTAAATTTAAGTAATTAAATACCGCAATAATATTCAAAATATATTCTTTAGGACTGTTACCAAACCGCCTTTACAAAAATGGAAGGAAAAAATATGAAACAGAATGAGTTTCTTAATATCTCTTAGCCAGAATAAATATTAGTATTGGGGAATAATTGCTCACTCATTTTCTTTCGCTTATTTTGCCAGACAGGGCAGAGCTGAATAACGTCTACGCATACAGTTCTGTTTCTTTAAGGCGTTGTTTTCCTTGCCGCTTTTCTTTTAGAGAAAAACCTCCAACAACTTTGCATCCCCCCAAAATATATACAAAAGTCAATGTTCTCCTTAAATCACTGAAATTAAATAAATGCCTTCGATGACAACAAAATGCCTCAGTTTTTAATACCAACCCCTTTTTCCGCAAATTCCGCTGAATTATAAACCCTGCGTTATTGACCGAATGCGTGTGACGTAGCATTTCGTTATTCAGCTCTGCCGCCAGACAGCGGCGGTTCCTTTTGTTTTCCTTTAAAATTTTGGGCGGGAAATTGCCGCACGGGTGGCCAGAATGGATCCCCTAGCGCATGCCCGACGTTCGACCGCTGCATACGTAGTTGTGGGCTCTATAAGTTAAAACCATTTCACCGATAAATTTATGGTGCGATCGAATAAAACGATGTGTGACTTCATAACAAAGATTCCTAGAATTCGTTTCTTATGATAGTTTAATTTGCATCGGAGAAAATATCTTAAATCACCAAAACTTGACTTTTGGCCAATAACCAGACGTGTAAAAAACTGCCAGTATAGGCCAGAATATTTGCCATGGATGTAAAGCCATGCACCATACAGAACTCATGGGTCATCTTCAGGTAAGTTTCGTCCATCTTGAAGGCCTCATCTTTGATTGGCCCAATATCGTCACCGTATCCGTGCTCCTTCTCATAAGCGTACCTTTTTAGCATCATAGCAGTGGTTCTAGGCTCCAGGTAGAACTTGTTTATCAACGTGGCTAACATTGAAACAGCCAAGCCTGATACCTGAAGAACAGAAGAAATAAGGTTATGCAAAGTGCTTACACAAGGCAGGTAAAATATTACGGTTTCCACGTAATAGATCGAGTTTTCAGTACGCTGCAGCAGCAGAAACGCTGGTAAAAGGAAAGTTTAATTTAACAAACATCATTTTCATTTACCTGAAGTTTTTCGTCTCCAGTCCAAACCTCTACTGGATGCATAAGATAGTACGTTACCAAAGCAACAGTAGATAAGCACGAACCCACAGTAAAATAAACTGGAAACAGTTGGCTTTGTAAATTACCGAAGGTGTGTCTTGTCAGGGTGAAGTACATCTTGTAACCTTTAAAAGAAAACAATACAGTTATCGGCTGGCCTGAAGTATCATGAAGGGTTGACATATCACTGTTCGTGCTAGTCAGCATGCAACTGTGAAAGGCTCTTGATTCTTTCACTGCCAAGATCTAAATGGTTATTCTCCTGTCTGTTCTCATAACCTGAAAAAACTATGTTGTTGCGTCAATGGGCTGTAGATGACAATTTGGTTATTTTATCGACTGAGTTGATAATGCTAATTGTCCACTGTAAAGAATTTGTAAAACTGGCGTTTCAAGCGTTAGCCCTTCGTCAGAGCGTATGACGAAAGGCTAAAGCTCAAACGTCAGCTTTAGAAATCTTTTACAGTGGTTAATTTACATTATCAACTTAAGTTAATAAAATCAAATCATCCGGCTTATTACTAAGCAGATCACTCCAGAAGTATTTTGTCTTAAAAAAACGTTTTTACACGTTTGAATTAAATTTCCTTTCTCCTCTTCGCGATCTTTTCTTACAGGAAAAACGTCAACTAAAAGCAAATCCTCTTAAAACTGTTTTTCCTTTCTTTATTTCTATTTTACGTTTAATCCTTTCCTGATCTTGACCTGCAGGAAAAACGTCGATTGAAAACGTATCTTCAAAAGGCTACCATTTCTTCGTCATCATTTCACGTCTGACCCTTCATTTTAACTCTTCGTTATATTTGCTCAGTAATCATTCCAGCGATGAAGCAAATTTCACAAATTTGTTGAATTATTGAGGGCGCTCACACGCGCATCTAAGCAAGACACGTGTTTCTCTCCAACTAACGTTATGTAATACGTACTTGTAAAGAAAAACAATTTTGACCCCTTAAACAGAGATAGCTAAATTATTTTATCACAAAATCTGTGTGCTTTGACGTATTTCATTTAATTGCATTTTTTTTCTGCAAGCCAGAAATTTCAGACGAAAAATTTGATGAATTTTTTGCTCCTCTTAGCCTCTATCTTCTCTGGATTAAAATGTCAACAATCTCCCACGTTGTAGAGAAATCATAAAAATAACAGAATATGAAAAAATTTTGCTTTTAATCACAAGCATATCTGATGTTCGAATATTTTGAAAGGAGAATTAGAATCTTTTTTATAACGGATTTAGGAATTCAGAGCCGAGCGATGCAAAAGACATTGTACGAACCAACAGCTGATTAGAAACTTGTTAGCATTCCTTCACCCCCAGCTTTGAAGAAAAATCTCTTCTCAGTGAGAGGTAATTTCCTGGAAAGCTATAAAGCTAGTTAGTGGTTTTAAATTGGCCTTGATTTATTCCGTGAGAGCAATGCTAGAATATTCGTCTGCAGTTACAGATTACGGTTTAGAATTCTGACGCATCTCACATGTCAAAGATGTTTTGGTCCATGAAATCGTAATTCCTACAGATATGTTCCTGTTTTGAATACCTATCTGTAGATTCTAAAAAATTCTGTTTTGTGTTTTGAAAATTTTTTAAGACGTCCTGTTTTTTGCTGTGGTGGTCTAATCTGACATAGAAACTACTTG